CTTGCCCCAAGCCACCACAATAATATCTTCAGCTTCATTTGCACTGTTGCAGTATCGGACAGTGCCATTTGGATCATTTGGATGATTCCTCCAGAAGGGAACCAGAGTGGCATGACGAAAGGCCCAGCCATAGAAATGATGAACTGTATTTGTAGTTATTTTCATCGAGAAATCCATCATACCAAATCTAGCTTCTAATTCCATAAAGTCCCCCACCACATCTCCCTTGAAAACCTGGTGGCCACATGTTGTTGGTACTCCCAGACCACCAGTATTGTTTTGAACCACATCCAATGTGGCTATTCCATTTTCAAAAGCAGCCTTTGAATACTTGTGGCCTTGGAGTTTATGCAGAAAACGATCTCTGAAGTATTGAACTGCCTTGGAATGGATAATGTCACAACTATCCACATGAGGGAAGTTTGAGAATCCAATGGGCAGGTATCTGGCTGCATCAATCCCTGATGAGAGGCCAGATGTGAAAATGTTTCTCTTGCTAACACTGCGACCAGTAAAGGTCATGTACAGAGGGTTCAGTCTAGCAGCAATGTCCTGAATCTGAGTTCCAGCTTGTTCAATTGCTATCCTGCTGAGCAGGAGGTTACTGGAATGCCAAGACTTGCGTTGAAAGTCTTGGGAACAAATATTATCCTTGGAAAGGATGCCAGGGTTCCTCTTTGGTCGATCACTACACCTTGGACCAAAGTATGCATTCAATCCAGTGCAAAAGGCACTGATGCGCGACCCAAAGCCAGTCCCAACTGCACTCTGGATTTGGACAACATGGTCTTTTGAAAACTTGTGAAGGTTCCCTTCCTGTGACCACCATGAGACAATTGCACCTGTATGACAAAAATTAAAGTGTAAGATAGAGCTCCTACTATGTTCAAACATTGGGACTTCTTGTGTATTACCTTCAACATCCAGGCTGCTCCGTTGGTCATACCTCCAAAGATATTCATTCTCACCAGCCTTGAAGCACTGCTCTGGTTGGCCCTCTTGGCAGAGACAATCAAAAGTGGCATCATCAACAATACTGAACCTTAGAGGTTTTGTTGTACTTACTTCCATCAAGTAGATGCATTGATATGACCCCTTCTTCAGAGACAGCTTCCCGGTTTGTTTCAGCTTTTCAGAAATCTTCTTGGCAGTCTGGTTGTTAAGCTCCTTGCCAATTATACCTGGAGCAATCACATAATGCTCTGTTTCTGTGAGGTACAATACTCTGGGGATTAAAGATTTCCTTTTGCGACCCTTCCTGTTTGGATTTGCTATCAGGAGCTTCTTCAAATTTGAACCTTCAACAGCATCCATCCCACTTGGAACCCTTGAAGCCCTTGAAAATATTGTGATTATGTTCTGCGTAGCTCCAGTTTTGGGTTCTTGTTTATGTTCCTTGCTTTCTTTCAATTTCTTGTTGGTTCGCTGCTGTTTCTTCAGTGTTGTTTGCACCTGTGAAACTCGTAATCTCTTGTGCAGATTACTGCGCTTATTGCTCAGCCTAGTCTGAGAGGGTTCAAACAAGTTCTTAGCATCATTCTTGTAGTAGAGGATCGTTGGTTGCGTTCGAACTTCAAGGTACCCATCAGCAGAGACAATGCAGCAGGAGTCAAAGTCTGGTTGACTACAGGTCCTCAGTCCCACAGTGTAGACATTGACAAATCGAATATTGTCACCCAATAATAGCTCTTCAGCAGCAAGTGATTGTGCATCTGAGATGGATCCATCCTCAAGTATTCTTGTGTACCATAGTCTGTTTTGGTCAGACTTCAGCTTCAAAATAAATCCCAGTTTCCAGCTGGTAGATCTGTGGTTGTCCCGGAACATAAAGGCCAGACCTCGACATTGACGTGGGAGTCTCTGTAGACTTTTTGTTTCCAGGCAATGCCAGCCCTTTGAAGCATCTTGAACATTGATTGGGCGTGAGATTGTGTTCAATGTAAAAGTCTTGTGAGCATCATATCCAAAGAAGTAGTCAACTTCACCACACACTTTGGGTTCTTCCAGCTGTGTCACCTTTCCCTCAGGAGCATCAGCATCAGTGGTACTAGGACTTAGAAATGGAGGAGCGCGACGGCTGTAGCAACCTGTGGCAATATGTTTTGAACCTGCTGAAGGCACTATAGCAGAAGCCATAGGCGAGACAGTGGGGCTCATCAACAAAACTCAACCGAGCCTAGTACTCCGAATCAGAAGCTCCAATAGAGGTAATTTTAGTGCCAGCAATGCAAGAGAAGAAAGTGTATGGATGGTTTGGAGGGTGGTTAGACAGATTTGATGTTGGTAGGAAGTGGATGGTTGGTTTTGAGGATGGTTACTTGAGATTGGATTGGTGGTTGGAATGATGTTTGTGTTTTCCTTCATCATTCATGCGAGGGTGGATTTTTCAGTCCGTTAAAAAAATTATTGTTTCAAAAATTTATTTAATTATTGTTGCACATCTTGAATGTGCCGTTGAACAGGGATTTGTGCCGGATGGCACCACCAAATTTTTCCAATTAGGGAAAGCATGCCAATCGGATCTGTCCTGCATAACCCTTATGACCCCGATCCACGAAAAACCCCCCCTTCCCATACCCACTTTCGGGCTTTTCTAAAAAAATATCACCATAGAATTTAAAAATGGTCATTTTTAGAATACGTGGTATTTTAACGCCAATAAGA